AACTAAAWCTATTGCCCGGTTTAAGCACTCCCTGAAGATTTCCTATTCTGTAACAATTTCCAAGGCAATATGGATGCTGTAAGTTTAAAGCTTTACCATGAAATGCAAATCATGGTAACTGTACTTAATTACCTGAGTGAATGTTTAGCTGGCACTACAATATTAAAAAATTAATTATGTTTTCATTTCTAATCTGATCATTAGATATATGAAAGTTTTTTTGTGGTTGTTTTCTTCATTTTAATTACCACGGACTAGTGCCATGCTTTGATGCTTTGTTGATCATATTAATAGCAAAAATWTACCTTATGCACTTTAAGACAAGTGACAGATCATATATCTGCTAAACATTGCAAAGTTAGCTCAAGCAGCTTCCAGTTACTGGTTAAATTTTATAAAGTGCAACAATACATAACATTCTGGATACTATCAAATTTTTATCAAAATACATTTTTTACAATGAATAACCAGCTTTWTTTTTTAATATAAACCTTGACACTAAGTACAGAAGAAAATGTGAACTATGAATCTCCCATTAACATAGTGAATAGCATAAATGCATAACTCTAAGGGGTTCAAAGACAAGATGTTAAACTTGTACTTTCAGCATTGTAATTATCTCTCTCTTGCATGAATAAGTCAGCAGGATAATGTAACTGCTAAAGACAATAAAATGTTTCATTTTTCCATAAACAGTGACAAAACTTTTAAATGCAATGTTCAGAAATAACCAAAAATTCACTTTTGTTTCACTCCTTGATACAATATCCTTATTGAAAAAACCAGAATTGATCAGAATTTTTTTTTCCTACAATGAGTACATGACTACTGATATATAGCTAACATTCTACAAAAAATAAAATATATTTACTAAAGCAAACCATATTGAAGACACTAACAGAATTTGAAACTTCCTACATTTAACAGAGACAAAAAAGAACTAAGTTAAAATACTCACGTAACATTAACGTCTATAAAAACATAACTAACAGCATTTCAGAATTTCACTCCTTGTTAGTATTCTATTATAGTTACCAAATGTAAGAGAAGGGAAACAAAACAATTTGCAAACTATTCCACCATGAAATTGGCTCTATTTATATGATATAAATACTTAGGAGATATGAAACCTCACAAAATTGCCTTGCATATCCTCTTCTAAATTTTAAACGACAAAACAAAAAATAACTTGTGACTGACGACGTGAAAATTTGCTTCAGATGGATGCTGACAATACAAKCCAACTATGATTTTGTAATTCTTAGGAGAAGAATTTGTAAAACAAGTGTTTACAATTAATTTCTGAAGAGGAATAAATAACCACATTCAAGCATATCAGGGCAACATTTAGATGAACTGCTCTCAGATAAAGAGGAGAAACCTAAGTGAATTTATAACTGAAGAAACGATGATCCTCTTGAACAATACCAGGGTGAGCCATCAGCAGGAAAGAACATTTCATTGCTGATTTTACAGCTCTATAATTTTCAGGAGTTTTACTAAATTAAAAAAAAAAATAAATCCCATTTTAAAAATCACCAGGATGTTTAGTTACAGAAACAACGCATCCGAGTATTATTCTTTCATCCTGAGATACAGACAAGACTGCAGGGTTAGGGCAGCGCCAGCACWGACAGTGACAAAGAATACATCACGGGCAGCCCTGCAGAGAAGCACTTGTGGACAAAGAGCTGAATGGGAGCCAAGAGTGCACACTTGCAGTCCAAAGCTTCAGCCATGCCCTGGGCCACATCCAAAGCACTGTGAGCAGCAGGTGATGGAGATGACTCACCCCCTCTACTCTGCCCTTGTGAGACCCCCACCTTGAGAACTGCTCTCAGATCTGGGGTCCTGAGCACAAGAAAGAGATGGAGCTGTTGGAACAAGTGCAGACGAAAGCTGGAGCACCTCTCCTATGACAACAGGCTGAGAGGAGTTGTTCAGCCTGGATAAGGGAATAATGATCATCTCCAAGAAGATCGCACTGAAGCCGTTTACCACCTCAAGGAAACTCATAAAAAAGATGGAGAGTGACTCCTTACAGAGGCAGATAATGAGATAAGGTCAAACAGCCTTAGCCTAAAACAAGAGAGTTACAGCACCTGAGCAGAGACTTGCTCTGCCAGGAAAAAAGCTCTGTCAGGGGCTGTGAGAGAGGAGACAGCCCCAGTACTGACACTGACCACCCAAAACCACCTTAATCCTCTCTGCTCCACTGCAGGGTGACAGCAGCAGTCCTTGAGTGTGCAGAGGCAACAGGCCTGACTACTAGTAACTCACTGGAGTGACCAGTTGKGGAAGAGGCTGTCTGACAGCAAAATGCCCCAGAGGCTGCACCACTTATCAGCACTYGGCTGTGTGCAAGGCCCAGCACCCAAGTGTAAGGGCTTATCCAGCATTACAGGCATCAGATCATTTTACRATTACCTCAAGCCCCTTTTCAGAAGGCAAGGTCAATACCAACACCATCAGGCATATTAAACTCCTGTCTTTGTTTAAGACCAAAAATTGGGACAATTCTTTACTGAAGTGCAGGAGCTCCTGCATGTCCTAAGGGAAAAAACAGTTTGAGCRTCAGGATTAACACCATCCAGTGGAGGATGCAGCAGATCACGACCATTTCCTTCTGGGGCAATGTCTGCTGATCCCAAGGCAGCCTCACTACCAGAGGCTGCTGTATCCCGTGCATGTAAATGCTGAACTTGACTTAGCTGTGGAAATAAAGTTGCYTGGTTTCACAGTAATTCCTATTTTCAGTCTCAGTCAATCTCCCATGCAAGGCAAGCACTTCCACATCTGGCACCTGCAAAATAAGTCTGCATGTCTAAGAATGGCTCGGCCCTTCTGGCAAACTTTGTCTTGAAGAAGCTAGGGAAGTGGTAATTCTGCAAAACCTAAATTCTTCAGATGAAACTTTACAGATCTCACTTCATGATGGATCTTCTCTGCAAGGCAGCTTGAATGATCAGCATTGTTTTCATAAAAGGTGAAGGCACTCTGAACTCTCAGACAATAGAGGCGAGATAAACCACATGAACTGGAGCAAGTTACTCAAAGTACAAAATCCGTGTTAAAAATGAATACTAACGTTATCCCTGATGTGAGAATGCATCCCTGACTTACTTTCACAAGCTGCCTTAACTCTGAATTTCACTTAGTGGTTTAAAAAATAAAACATAAAAAAACCCACTTATCCTCTATTTCAGCTTACTTAACATCACCTAGTATGTTAAATACTTCTGCCTCCTTTTGTATCACCTTCCTTCCCATTTCACCTTCTCCCTGGAAGCTGACCATACTGAAATTCTCATCATTACACCCTCTTTAATTGCTCTCATGACTCTTCTCTGCAACCTTGCATTGGGTTAAAGTGACAAGATTTGTAAAAGGGGGACAGAGAAGGCATGGCTGCCCTATCCCTCAGGCTGGGTTGGATGGGACTTTGAGCATCCTGCTGTAGTGGAAGGTGCTGAAAGGGGTTGGAACTGTGCCACCTTGCATGTCCTTTCCAACCCAAACCATCCTGTGACTTTAAACCCTTCCCCTGCCCTCCCTCAGAGGCCACCATGCCCTGAACACGGTCACCTGTGCCATCAGCCCTGGGGCACTGCAGGCACCACATCAGTGGCTGCACTGGAGGTGATGAGCCCTCGCTCTGCGCATTCACATCAGTGATGACAATGACTCTTGAGGTGACACAGTGCTGGCAGTGACGAAGCTGCTGTGTCTCTGTGCTGCTGGCCCTGAGCATGCCTGTGCTCAGCACACAGGATTATTTCCTCACACCCACTGAAACAGAGGTATGGGCACCTGCAAGCAGACTTCAGTAATCTTCAACTCAAGGGGAAGAATACCAYTGTTATGATCAGACTCATCTTCTTAACCAACCCCAGCAGACACTATGCACTAGCACTAGTAGATTTCAAGCCTTCCAAACTTTTGCAATCATTGTTCTGATTCTTCTTTTCTCTTTCGTCATCTTTTTGTAGTTTTTGAATTCCTTCTAGGTCATGATAAGAATACAAGCTTTGCAAAGTAAAGTTGTGTACCAGAGTAAACGACAACCACCCGATAGTGCCTTGTAAATAATAAACAGCAGTGGAAGCAAGAGAATGCTGACAATCAAGTACAATTGTAGAATGGGAATCACAAATAGATAGACGAAGAAAAAGCCTTCCTCTCAGAAACAACTATTTAATTATCATTTCACAGAGCTATTGCCCCATGGGCCAAAAAGAATGTCAGGCTAAATCTCAAAGTAAAAAAAGCCACAAATACCTCATACACATCCAAACTAATCCACACAGGCAAAGACTACTGTTTGTCCCTTTAATAAACAGGTACTGTTTGTTTGCTTTTTTATATGGCCTACAAACACTGCATATAATTGCATACAATTGAAAAAAAGGAAGTCACACAAAGTGTTAGCAAAGAAGGTACTTAAATTACATGAAGTCTCATCAGAGCAAAAAAAAMCCCCTCCTTTTAATTATTAAGAGCATGTAAACATTTAAAAACAAGTTGCAAAGAAGCCAATGTTCATTTCTGTTTAAGAAAAGAGTAATTACTGTACATAAAATTAATGTCTCAATTACTTAACTCATGTAGCAGTTCCCAGAGCTTTTGCTGTTAATCTTCTATCTACAACTGTGAAGAAATTTCTTCAACACAGCCGAGGAAATTATCAATAGTGACTCAGTCACATTTACTAAATCTGTGTAAGGGCTAGACTTTTCATTTTAAACAGTGTAATGAAAAGCTAAGCATCAAGCATATAGAAGACCAACCCAAGCCCCCACACATGGATTGTTATGAGTTACTGCAACTTAAAAATTAAAAAAATATTACACAACTGAACTTCTTGTCCAAACAAGTCTCCAAACACGTGAAGTGAAGTCCTTTCACTTCAGTCACCCTAGTGAGTATCTTGATCCTCTGACACCAGCACCAAAGTACAATGGCAAGGCTACACAATTCAGTCAAACAAATGTCAAACTTACCATAGAAGTCACTGATCTGGCATCTTCTTCATAATTCACTACAGGTGGTGGCTCTTTCCCATCATTCTCTTGAACCTTTTGTTCCAGTAGTTCTTTCTGGGCTGCAAATTTTGCCTCGGAGCATCTTAATTGCTGGACTGTTTGCTTAAGTTCTTCAAGTGCTTGCTTTTGGCTCAGCAAGAGTACAATACTGCAGAGAAAAGTAACAGCTTAGAAATACACTAYTCAAAATAGTTCATTTGCATCATAAATGCTGGAGGGCAAAAAACATGACAATTCCTTAACACAATAATTTATTCATAGGTGAAGCAATTCTAGAAAATTTTCAAAGCAACAAGACACTCACAAAGTAAGCAAACACTCATTATCTTCTCTCTATCAGGAAAACACCCACTCTCTTCTCTCTATCACAAAAATCATGCCCAATGAATACTGATGAAACTCCTGTTTTTATCCACATTTGATTGAATTTATAAACAGTGGTGTTCCCCTTTACAGAATAAATAAATTTTAGATAATGATTTCCAGTGATGAGAAATCCACTGTAACCAGTGTAGTTTTGCCAGTAATAATTTYGAATATGAAACCCACTTCATGTCCTGTATAAATTCATATGGCATCAGAGATATTTGTATGTTCCTCTGCTCTGTAAGTATTTCTGCATCGTGGTACAACTGTCTCCTTAAAAAGCTAAATAAATTGATCTTTATGAGGAGCTATAAGCAACTTTTTGTCTTCTGCTTATTTTCGTAGTTCTTCTCTGAATACCCTTCATACCTCTGAATACTCAAAACAGTCATGATGAAATCACTACTSAAGGACAAGCACTCAGAGCATCTGCAGATACCCAGATGACCCATTATCCCAAAGAACTGCCAAACCCAAAGACTGTCAGAAGCTGCCTAAAAGACAGATTCATCCACAATATAATACAGACACCCTGAAAACCACTCAACCAGAGCCCAGTGACATGTAGTCTGTAGGACACACAGCGTTTTCACAGTCTACAAGAACAGATGAAAGAGGTAAATGGATCAGAACTACAAAGAATGAGCACAATATGAAGAAAMATTCTGAGTACTGTGCTGCTCTATATCTTCAGGACAATCCTTAGAAGAYAAACCCTCCTGCAAGCCCTACACTTGAAGAAAAAAAGAAAGGCAAAAGTTGTTCATATAGGGATTGATCCTCCACAAACTGATGTTCAGCCAACTGAGTATTCAAATGAGTTTCAAAGTGACAGGGGAACCAACTGTCATAAAATCCTCATTGACAGGAAAAGATAAAGATCATTTCTATACTGATGAGTGTTATGCCAAGTCACTAACAAACAAAACTCCACACAATCAGCACAATAATCATTCCTTCAAAAAGTGTAAGTGTGAGGCATGCAGATACAATTACCAAATCTGAAACAGAGATTTGGCATGAGTCTGCACAGATTTAAAAGCATCACAGAGGCAAATGAACAATTATCCTGACATCCTCAAAATAGTGTGTTTTCATCCCGTTTATGAGAGGAAAAAGACATCACCCTGAGAAAATAACAGGATTCCACTACCAGCAAGGCTTTGGTGAATAGAAGGTGGGTAGAGTGACATCCCCAAACACAGAATGGTTTATGCTATCACAACACAGAAATAACAAGGCACACTCTGCAAGTGAAAAGTCAGTCACAAGCTACTCTTTTCCTGAACTGTGGCAAAATGGATTACCCAATTCAGTTTCCCAAATCCAACTCTGAATGCCTGCCACTCCAGTCATGCATGAGGAAATAGAATCTATAAAATTATTTGCCCGTGGCTTGCATGAGTGCAAACTTTAAAGTCCTTCTTGCTAGCAACAGCTATTAGCAACTTCACAGAGAGAGACCTTGTGTGAAGGATCCCTGCAGATCAGGGGAWGCACCAAAAAGGTGAGCTGAATCAAAACCCAAATATTCAATATGCTATCATACTGGGTGGGCAGGCTATGTTTGACATCCACACATATAAATAAAATRCAATTAAAATAATTTCTGTGTTGAAGGTAGTATCATCACTTGAAGATGGAAAGGGGTATTAGTGCCAGGGTAATATCAAGACATGGCCATAAGATATGACCTTATGCAGTCATAATTAAACCCAATGCAGCTGTTGGGTAAGATCTTCCTGGGACACTAAGCACATGTTGAAACACTCTGATAACCCTGCACAGCAGCCAGAAGGTGAAAATGGGGTTTACTGGACATAGGCATGATCAATGACAAATGAGAACAAGGATGATTTTGGGGAAGCCTTCACCCTACATTAGACACCTAAGACAGATACCCTGCCTTTTAGTAAGACAAACAGGTACTGGTGCAATTTCAACTAAATCATCTCCTCAACACCACAAGTATCTGCTAAAGAATCAGTCAGCGAAGTGTCCACACAATAAGAAATACAGCGATGGTCTGAATTATTTTCAGAAAGTGATAACTGGTTAACAAAACAGTACTAGGGGGGAAAAAACAATACGCCATCAGACTCAGCTATTTCAAACACAGTTTATCCTCTACAGCAAGGCAGACAGCTCAAGAATCAAAAATTGGATAACACACCGTGAGTGCATGTGAACCTCACCAAAGAAAGAGCAGGAAATATCTAATCAAAACTCTGATATCATATACATAAATGAAATTTTGGATATGAATTAAATACTATACAATGTATCATGCGACAAGATTCCTTCAACAAAGAGCTTCAAGACTTCTTCAATGAATGAAGGATTACATTCCAATTCACTACTGGTACTGTAAACTAGTAGTTTTACTAACTTGGTAATAAATAAGACTGATTACAACAAAAATCAGAAGAATATCACTACAGACAAAAGGTTTCATCTGTTGTATTCATTTCAGTTTAGAAGAGCATGTGATTTTTTTTCTAACTAAAGGTAGAAGAAAAACCTAAAAATGCTGCCTAAGAATGATTCTTTATAATAATGTTTTAATAATGTTTTATTTATGGTGCACTAAAACACTCATTAATCCCTCACCTTTGGTACTTACTATGCAGTACTACAGGGTATGAGATTTACATCTTTACATGCAAAGAAAAATGAACTTAACCTGCTAAGTTCSAAGCACATTACTGCATAAGAAAGTCTTCTTGCACATGACTCTGAAAGCCTTTCACAGAATTACACCTACACAAAGAAACCTGTCCAACAGAGAGGCAACTGAACTAACTTCTCCAATCAAGTCAAAGTTACATTACTTAGGGAAGGTCTAGCTCTTGACCCATGCCGAAACTATGACAATTATATTACACTCATGGAGCTGCTCAAYGCTTCAGTGAGTTAGGGTCTGCAAAAGGATTATTTTAGAGATGAGAAAATTACTGTTGTTCCTCATAGTAATTTGATACACACAAAAGCAGAACGAAATTAGTGGAGGTTTTCTTATTTAAGTCTTAAGAATTGCATTACAGACAATTTTTCTCCTCAAATTATTGTATTTTGAAATTTAAGTTCAACTTACTCAGATTTCTTTCCACATGTCTTAGAGGATTCTTCTATTTTTTTCTCTAGTTCCAACACAAGTTCCTCTTTGCTCAAAAGGGTTTGCTGTGTCTGCATCAGTTCTTCTATTACCGTTTTTAACCTGTAAAAAAGATTTTAGAAACCCAAGTCAGGAATGCATAAACTGTATGTATTTGGGAATGTTCTATAATTTTTTTTCTGAAGCTGTAAATAAGCATTATTTTTTAGATTATCTTAGGCAGTGCTTGGTGATAATTTGGTTTTTTTCTGTATACGTGTGGATATACCTTACATTGTTAACCTGCATTATTAGATTCCATCCTAGCCAGATTCCATACTAACACCTCTATACATACACAGTAAAACAACAATCTGCTGCCTGCAGGTTCTCCTATCAAGAAAATATGTTTTCCAGAATATGTAATGAGTTCTGCAAATTAATGCCTTCCCAATACATTAAAGCTACTTTATGAGATGCTTTAAGAAAGACAAAAGACTTCCAGCTCCTAAAGTACACAGAAACAGAAGTTGGGCTGTATTTACTTCTAAAAAGAGCAAAAGTACAAATGCTAACTTTCTTTGATAAGAGTGATTATATCTTTCTTCACAATTATCCTTTTTACGTTACAATCTCTGGTAACAGCTTATTCACAGGAAAGATAAAACTGTACAAAAACACTCAATACTAACAGAGAAGGAGTTAATATACTTTAAAAACATTACTGACACTTTGTAATTATGCTGGTAAATAGTCCAACAATAAAAAAAAATGAATGTACAGAAACATTTGCATTCTGAATAATGCACATAAATGTCTTACTTATAAATGACTTCTAAAATGCATATCAATATGTTGATTTCAATTAATTGTTAACTCAGAACAATCTCTTAAAAATAAATAAGCAATCTTATTTCCTTGTTGGCATTTATCTACCCATCTTTAACTATCTTACTTTGTTTCCCCTCTATTTTTAAGCTGAAGGGAAGAGTGGAACACAGGCAAAACACATTAAGTAATTACCACAGCACAGATGCATGGACCAAAGCCATTCCAGACTAGGGAGTGGCACATCCAACTCTCTAAACACCTAGGRGGCACAGTCCACATGCCCATATACACCAAAGTGAATTATTTGATTGTAAACACTGAATCATTCATCTCCTCACAATATATTTTACACATTGTTGATTACATATGGTCTGTACTCAATCGTGCATTTTATTCTGGGAGAGTTAAATTAGTGAAATAAAGCCATAGAGTGAACAACTGAAACTCATTTCCCARAAGACCAAGCTTCTACATGTGTTTATTTTGAGATAAGATAAATACCCAAAATATTTCCCTCAAAGTAACATCTTCACAGCTCCCCTCTTCATACTCATTTTTATTAGTTTCAGGCTATCAAAATCTATATACTGAACTGCTCTGTGTTTTTGTATACTGGGTCACTAACTTAATACCAACTAACTTTTTATTTTAATACCTTGCTTAGAAAATAATTAATGATTTTGTAACAGATTTTTGAGAAGTTTTCTAAACAAATTTTTAATCAACATTGTATTTGCTTAACAACTGATTTACAGGAAGCAGATGTTTTATCAAATGATCAAGGATCAGTAGTCATGAAATTAAAACCAGTTTAATAAGACTGTTCATCACTGGAAGAAATGAGYCTATACATGCAGATACAACATTATTTCACCACACTCTAATAAAATACATAAACTAGATTTAATAATTTATACTGCAGAATCAGATTGAAACACATAAATGATGTAGCTCTTCCTGAAACTTCTGAGATACTTAAGGACATTTTTATTTATCTTAGGGGGGGAAAAAATACTACCATATACACACTAAACTCACTTGCCTCCTTGTACTCAACRTCTATTCTTTGTTTAAACAATAACTTTCATTCAGACTGGCTACAACTGACAACTCGGCATCGGTCTTGGATCATCTTGGCAGTGGTTTGCCAAAGGAATTCTCTTGTATTGTATYTCCTTTTGGACACAATCAGTTTACAAAAGGGTTTCTATTACTAACCAGTTTATCACTATAAACCTTACAAGCTTTAACAACCACACAATAACTCTACCTGGAAAGCTTCCTTTCATATTTCTTTAGTTAGTAGCTCCATTCTGCCACAATTATCAATTAGCACCTGATCTTTAAAATCTTCTATTTCAGAAGATTTTTAAATCTAAATTGGATATTAATGTGTTCTCTGATCAACCATTAGCTCATTGTGGTTGCCTCCTGTCAGTTTTTAATGCACATATCTTCAAAGCCTAAACTTTTATTCTGTGAAACTTTTCAGAATTTCTCTGCATTATTCAGCAACAGCCATGAGTATTTATCAGGAGACACCACAACTCATTCCTTAGAATGGTTAGTTAGTCAACATTGATTTTTAACTRCCTCTCTTTCTCAAAACTTTATTCATAAATATAAATTTACCCTAGAAAGTAGAAGCCAGTTTTCTCATCACGCTCCCTTAAAATATTCTTCATTAAACCTTCAAACAGCAATGTAAGTAAAGCTGTCATTTTTCCTTTGCATACTCAATGAAACAGCTGATTCAAGCAAATATTATTGATTACAAATCAGTATGTCTTTGAATGTTTAAAATGTTCATGCATTAATTCCATCATCTGCACTTATTTTATCTGGTAGATAGTGAAGGTAATTCTCCTCTACAGAAACATAATTATGTAGCATTTTAAAGATTCAAGGCTATGATTTCAATACCAAAGATCAATAGTCAAATTTCTATTGTTTCATCACATACAGAGCTGATTCTTTGAAAGTCATCAACTATGGATAAATGATATATAGTACACTTTTCTTGTTTGCAAATTTCTAGTCGTACACAGTTGATGCAAATACTTGTGGGTTTTTTTTTTTTTTTGGCTGCAGTGGCTTTAAGGCAAGACTGTAACAAGACACCTAAAAAACAGTTAAAAAGGTTTATGAATATAGACAGTTACAGAGAATTGCAACAAAAAACAAAGGGTTCACACCTGCATTAAAAACCAAAATGACAAATGGGAATAAGAATAAACAGTTCTTACAGTCCCAGGAGAGAGTGGCACTTCMTAAATAATATGCACTGCCTAATATGTTCATAATGATCCAAATAAAAGGACAATTTGAAAAGTGACAAACAATGCTCATTACATAATATTACTTGTGGTAGTAGGAAGAGTCTGAACATGAAAAATGCAGGATTTTTCTAGACCTTATGACACTGGATATCTGGGCTCTCATTTAAATACATATGGAAACATGCAAATATGCAGTGGGAAAAAGAAATAATCCACAGCTTTTCTGATGTAGAGAATGAAGAATGGTTCTAAAATGACCATAACCACTCAGAAATGAGATCTTGCAGATACAGTAGGTGATTCCCTGAAAACACTGACTTGATGAGCTTCTGGGGTCAGAAAATCAAATTGAATGGCTCTCTAGGACTTGTTAAAAACAAAGCACAGTAAGAATACAGAAAACCTCAGAAGGCCTCCTGCTAAACTACCTATCTGGATTACCTGTGAAATCCTAGTCACTCATCTCAACATTAATACAGCAACCTTAGAAACATTCAAATAAATACGAATGGATAAAGGATGAGTAAGTTTTGTGAAAGGACAGACTAAAGCAAAAGATGGCTCCGAAAAAGAGATTACAGAGTATACATTGAAAAGAAATTTACATTATCTTAGGTAGAAAGGAATAAATTACTCCTATTCTCTTCCAAAACAAAAGCTTAAGGGTAATAAAATGAAACAAAGTAGCAACAGGTTCACAAAATAGAAAGTTAATTTCTGTAACTCCTCAACTAAAAATGCCATGGGCAACAGATACTTTTACACAGTGAAATTGACTGGAGACATTCATGGAAGAAAAGTACTTCTGAGGACATTATAAATTACCTACAAAGCCACTAAAAAGACAGATAGTACTATTGTCTCCAAATATTTGAGAGATGAAAATTATAGGAGGCAGAGGAAATAGCATTATGTGATCATCCTAGTTTCGTTCTCCTCTCCAGACTTTTCCCTGTTGTCTAATGCAGGAACGAAGAAAGCTGAGTGTCAGTCTTTGGTCTGGCCTAATATGGTTTAATTGTTTTTCTCAGAGTAATAAACCTATATCAGAAGGTGAACACCTTAAAGACAGCAACACTTAAAAGAGCTATGTGATTTCTGTGCCAGAAACACTATAAAATTTCTCACTCAAATTCACAAAATTATTTCATGTGGATGAATAGAAGATTTGCAACAGAACAGAATGAAAATTGTACTGAAATATGAAAAACATATATTTGCAGGCAAATATACAGACATACATTCATAGCACAAATATACATTTAATCAGAAACATTTATCAGAAAAGCAACATTTCATATTTTAGATATGCTGATGTCTTATTTCTAAACATTTCAATACAAAAGGCAAGCAAAACAAGAATTTATCTTTTTGAGCTTTTGAGTTTCTGTCATGTTGAGAAAACAAAGGGACTAGAGCAACCAGCAGAATGCACTGCAATATGTTTGCATTTGAAATACCTCAGCCTGATTTTGATTTTCAGAGAAACCTACAAGAAATAGGGACAGCAATTTGATTAAACAAATCAAACAAAAAAATGTAAAAAAAAAATTTAGAACTCCCGTAATATATCACTGATGTCTTATTTGCATCAGTTATAATTTCCAATGTTTTCCAATGAAAACATTTCAAGTAAGTCAAACATGAACTGAAATATAGTAGACACAGCAAAAATATCATCAACCAATGAAATTATGAATTTCTCATTTTTAAGGCATGATTAATAGTTGCAATCTCACAAGTGTGACCACACAGGGCCATTTTATGTCAAAAACTGAGGCTGATAATAAATGAACATAATAATCTCAGCAGTCGATTCATTCTCCCTAACAAATTATTAAAGGTGAAGTTGGTAAAAGTAATGAAAATATTTAACTAAGCAATATATTAACAAAACACATAGAGAGGTAGTTCATCACCCTGAATAGCTGAAAGCTCTGTGAAATGCAATACAATAGCTACATCTACTTTACTAAGTCAATGTATTCTAAAGGTTACAATAATGAATAAGGATCTCCTTTGGAAAACGAAAGCAAACACTTAAAATACAAGGGAAATAAATATATTAATGAAAATTTTCTACACGGTGGTTTAAATCACTGACTACATAATTCTACTCAATGGTTTCATCAAAATTTTTCATTTTTTTTTCTACAGCAGTGAATGTAGAAGCACTTTGGGGAAAATGAACCAGTATGTTCCCAAGGAGGATTCACAGCAGATTTGGGGCAGTTTATACATCAACTGGCATGGAGAGGAACATAAATTAAAAATGATGACAAGTTTTTTGTGAGACTGAGAAGAGGATTTTGTGCAAAAAAGAGCAGAACCAGCATGGGAGAGAGTCTGTAGATTGAAAATATCACATTTAGAAAACAGACCTTAAAAATGGGGACACAGCTATGCAAGGAACTGAGTGAGCATATATTTAACATAGAACAACACTTCCAGAGGTTGGAAGATTTGTAAAGACAGACTTACATGACTTGCAAACTTTCTGCTGTTAAATTATTCCACATGATCTCATTAGCTTGCAGGTTTTCATTTTCTTCTAATAAAGATGTATCAAACTCTATTTCTTGTTCAACAACTTCTGATGACCTAATTTAATAAATAATCGTTGTGATTTCAAAATTTATACTGTATCTTTGAGTAGACCACAGAGCAAATCATTAGGTTTTGAAACACTTTATTGACTAGCACATAGTTTAAATTACTTATGAAATAAAAGGATAGATATCAACTGGACAATTACTCTTWTTCATTTGAACAAAGAACATTGTTCTAAAATCTCATAAGGTAATAAAATGCATTACAATTCTTTGAATCAAGTTCACAGCACAATCAAAGTTTGCAAGGACTACCAATGTGAATGTGCTCCCTCTTACCCTTTCAAAAACTGCATGTGACAACCATCAATTCACACATAATAAAAACAAGAAAAAGATAATGCAAGAAGTCTTAGGACTACTTCTACATACACTAATGCAATAAATGGGAAATACACTTCACTCTTTAAGAAAAACTTTGTTGCATTATCTACATGCTCTGAAGTCTCAATCAGCAATATCTGCAGTGTACAGAGGTACCTAGAGTTGACTTTAAACCAGAACAAGCTYAGCCCAGAATGCAAACTGCATCCAAATGAACAGTAAATTAGCTCACTTTGAGTCTAGACTGTAATATATAATCTGCTACAGTACCACAGTTATGGCTCTTCTCATGTAACTGGAAATTTGTTTACTACAGCCAGCCAAAGTGACAGTTCAGTTTGCTTTCTGTACACGCAAGTGGAATAATTTTCAAATCAGGACAAAGTTTTACAAGTAATGATGTAAAAGGAATCAAAGAGAAGCAAATTCCTCTGAACACTTCAAGCAAGTTGCAGCTTAATGCAGAGTTTCCTCAAGAAGACACATGAGATGAAAATGTTTACCTGTGAGTATCTATGAAGTCGTTGTACTCAGAGTTAGGGTCTATCTGTTCCACTGAGATCTGGATCTCTTTATGGACATTCACAATCTCTTCTGTTACAAGACTGGTGATCTCGCTATATTCATCCAAGATTCCTTTTCTAGAGAGGAAAAAAAATTCTAGCGTATAACATGACAGTGAAGGCATAGGTGGCACAGAAGTTGCTTTCATTTTGCTGTTTCTACAAACTTGTTGCAACTGGCTAAAATGGGAAAAGTAAGACAATACACAATTTGAAGAAATAATGCATCACCTGAGGCCTTTTCTCTACAGCCCCAGGCTGGATACCAATCTCTTAACACCACACTCCTTCTGTTGGTTTCAGTAAACCTACATACAGCCTACAAACTAAAAACTGGAGAGATTAAAAGCAAAGGGAATGTACAGAGTTCATTGATGACATTCTTCTTCACACAGGAGTTGCTGCGCACATTACAACCTACACTGAAGATTTTCACTTTTCATGGCAAAATATACTGTGGCCTAAGAGTCACAGAAAGATGTGCATTTCTTTTAAAAACTGTATTTCTGTATTGTTTTAACTTCTTCTGATGTATTTATTTACATTACGATTTGCCATTCAGATAAAAATAGGCATATATCACAGGTAAGCATATATTTTAAAGGGGAAAGAAATCATCCAGTAAGTTGCTGTGAGGAAATACAAGCTACCCAACCTTGTCTTTGCCTGTTTCCAAGAGTGGAAAAAAACAAGTGAAGAGTGAATGGCAGAGGAAGAGGTCATTTTGTGACACTTAACAGCATCCAATGACACAAACTCAGAACACCCTTCTCTACTCTTTAATTTTTAGTTTTCCTTCATAATTTACCTTCATAATTATTTCCTACTTCATTTTTATATCTGATTTGCTAGCCTGCCAGGATCTGAAGCATGGTGGCCTCTCAAAAAACACTTGATGATTTTTGGCTAGCCCAGAGCAACATGCAGAGAAAAAAGTCTAAATACATTTATCTTGGGTAAGGTCTCAACTTATGTTTACTCTGTAAAAAAAAAAAAAAAAAGGGTGATAGGATTTTTTCAATACTTTTGCCCTGAGCAGAAAACAGACAGCAGAAGGCATTAAATTTTGCCCTGTCTGAGAATATAATGTGTGAAAAGATTCCAGAAAATAATTCATGGAGTATGATGAAAATATAGCTAAACATCAACTACAGCAATGCCATGACTAAGAGAAAAAGAATGTGTCAATTACTATGATAAAAAAAAAGAAAAAAAATAGCAATATTAATCTATACTTTTTCAAATTAAAAACTAATTCACCTGCAAAATTAGGGTTACTGAGGAAGTCTTGGTTTCATACAGACTATCACACCAAACTCTACACCTGAAATCAGCATCTCTTTATGTACACCAAAGTTATTATAAAAGAATAATTTTCCAATACATTCAGAACTCACAAAAACATCAATATAGTGACAAAAGTAGTTTTTACAGGTCTTTACTCCAGGCAGAGCAGAGATGAGTGGTTTCAATAAGCTCTTGTTCCATCATGAATTTCTTCCGTTAATTGCCATACTTCATGATCCTAAAAAAACTGCCTTAATTAGAGCACCCACATTTAACTGCAGCCTTTTGCTATGATCTTACATACAAAATTAAAAGGACTGTACAGCAACAACTACAAAGGTTAATTTAAATACTAGCACCTGAATAAAAAAATTAATATGATATTGCATAGGGAAGCTAATGATAACCGCACCACAAAAAGTGTGGAATGCTCAACTCTCCCTCACTTCCTGTGCACCAAAATCAAGAYTAACACTGACACCAGAATAGATAAGAAAATGAGTTAAGGAAGTGTTTCAAATCTAAATGAGTAATACTTACAAAAAAAAAAAAGGCAACCACCCTTTTTTTTAGGCTAAGACAAAGAGGCAGCACGGTGATTACAAACCAGAAAGGAGAAATAAAAGTTCTCTCTATCTGTTATTAGAAATCATCACATTGCACATACTCTGTAATGATCTTTTAGGTAAGAGATACTTGTATTTTTAAGGGAGGATTCCTTACAGAGATCAAATTTACATAATCTTGTTAATTCTCCCACACATATAATCAACCAGGCACCTGACTTGACCCTCCTCCACAATCACTTTTAAGACAGTTGGGCAGTTAAAACCAAATTTGTTGCTGGCAGAGTTTCATAACACTACCAGACTATCAGAGAGGCAACAAAATTGCCACAGTCTATCAGCTGATGGACAAATCATGAGCTCAGATAACAATACTTTAGTCAATCTGTAAGAATTTATAAGAAGATGATGTCTTGTTGGTAGGCTTAAACAAGCACTCAGAACTACTGTCTTCATTATTTGGATAGACTTTTTTCAGCTGCTATCCCCTGAAATGTAATTAATTAATCACAGTGTCTTATTGTCAACCATTCATATAAATTATTTAGAATATTACACACAGAAAATGGTACAAGTTAGAAATACTTCTTACAAAGCTTTAATCATTTCTTCTTGCATCTTCTGTAGTGAATCAAGTAACAGAGGAAGTGTAGTATCATAATAYTGGTGCTGATGTAACTGCGCTCCTTTCAGTGCCAACACATACTGGTTATGCAACATATGAAGTTTCATAGTGGCTTTTTCACATCGATCTTTGGCTTTCTCTGTCTCCTTCCCTAAGAGAAAACAAAACATAAATGCACTTAATGATTTAAAAGCTTAAGGGCCTGTAGAAGACATACACCTGGCAGATGAATGGCAAGTTTGCTCATTTTTCTATGGTAATTTTTAAGATACTTCTCTGAGCAAAGCAGAATCCATTTTCAGATAATTCAGATTTCTAATTACTATGTAAGAAAAAGGTTATTTTCTTTGAGCAGAAACATGAGAATTCATTATCTAAAAGTATATGAAAGCCAAAAGTATAAAAATAATACAACTATGAAAAAGAAAGAAATCTTGTATTTGCAAATAAATATTTTTAATGCAAAAAGAGATGTCCTACTACATCAGATTCATTAAATATTATTATTTTTTTGTGTTCAAACGTTCTTACTGCTACACATAATCCTAATAAAGCAATGATGCAATCTACTTATGAGAACTTGAACTCTCACATTATTATTCCTGTCCAAAATGGGTAGCTTCTCTCCTACAACTTCACATTTCCCTACCAAGCTGACATCTCAATCATGGGTTTGACTCTACAGCCTCGGCTTGGCACCACTGAGATTTAAGTGCTCAAGTTCAGGCTTGACAGAACCAGGTGAGGGTTGAACTGCAGAGGTACAAGGTACTTAGGGAGGTCACCTGCTCCATTCTTTGCCACAGTAACTGCACAGCTGTGTGGGGTATGCTACCAACACAGTTTCCACCACAAACCCAAAATACAGCCACATTAACAGCTACTGTGAAGAAAATAAACTCTATTTCAGCTGTAACCAGAACGCACATATAAGCTTTTAATTACATCCTTGCTGTCTTCTCGATATTCATCAAGTATCTTATTACGTTTTCAGGAACGAAAACCATTTCAATTAATCCCGTATCTGCAAATATCAAGTGCAGAGTCATAACTAACTGCACGGATAAACATATGCTAACTAAAGCAATCTCATTCAGACCACTGCATTTCTTATAAACTTAAAATAATTTATGCAGTAAAAAACATRTCTATACCCATCACAAAGCAGTTGAGAGAAAAGAAAGTGTAAGCATTCATAGCTAAGTGAACAGCTGCTTGAAAGCAGACCTTGAAGAGCTGTGTCATATAAGGAATACACAAGGGACTATGAACTCAAATAAAACAAAACACAGACACACATTAAAGACACATTAAAAAAAAAASTTGAGGGAAAACCAGTAACAAATCCTCTTTCATATACACTGGAGTCAGCAAGCTTGTCAGAAAAAGTAAACGACACAAAAAAGGAGCTGGTACAAGAAAAAGAATTTTTTCTCCTTCTGTGATCACTACCTCAGACCTTCAGAGATTTCCAGGATCAAACATTACTATGTGAAAGAGTCAACGAATGTCTTTCTTCTGAGAAAGTGTCAGAAGGAGAGGTTAGAGAATAAACGAAGTAAGAACAAATTATAAGGACTGGATGGTGTCTAGCTTTGAAACTTCAAAGGTACTTGAGAAAGTTTTAGCTGAAGTATTCTGATTAGTTTTTACAGGAGGAGGTAAGCACTCAATGAAGAGCCCCAGCTGGACTCTGATAGGTGAGGTGATGAAGATGCCACCTGAAAGTGGCAAATAGGGAAACCAAATGTGAAGAACTGGAAAAGAAGCCTTTAAAGGCACTGATTAAAACTAACAATAGTAAATTATAGAACGGATATTTAGAGGGATGCAATGGGTAAAAAACTATTCAGATTTAGTAATCTGCTCTAAACTTAGCGAATGTACACAGAAATGAGATCAGAAAGATCGATGGAAATGTTAATTCAGTGCTCAGAAACTGCTGGACACAATGTTATTTAGCAAAGGAATAGACAGTTGTTATGCCACAGATTAAATCCACTTAAAAGTAAGCAATTCGTTGACCTCAAGGAGGATATATTTGACATGCAAAAGGTTTAGAGAAGGGCATTACCAATCAGAAAGGTAGGAAATGAGGAATACAAAAAGAATATCTACAATGAAGAGTCCTGAAGCACTAGGAGTCCGAGTAGGATCACATAAAAAGGACACAGTTAACAGACCTCTTTCAATGTAAAAACTGTACAACATTATATGGAAATAGTAAAAATAAACTTTCTTCAACCAGCATGCAGCTAACCTATGTATTCCTTTAATAAAAGTTATCCTACACATGAAAAGCTTATGTGGTTTAACAGTGAATGGACAAGGGTATTAAAAAAAAAAATCCTGAAGAGCTACTAAAAACTAGGACAGCACTTCTGACTCAGGAAGTCTCTAGATAAAAAATTACCATGAAGCTGGAGCACACTTCTATCAGTCTGTACTCTTGCATGGCTCTCTAGACACTTGCCACTGTCAGCTACATTTCAAACACGTATTAATAAAAGTCACTTTAAATGGGTATTATGTCTTTCCTTTAAATGAAAACAATCCAACTGCTGACCTAATTTTGTACATGGAAGGTACAGATTTCTTACACTACAATTATCTGAGTTACTTTGTACAACAAAGACAAAACACATCTCAAGAGCTGTCACAAGAGAAGAATTTTTCATATAAATATGAATGAAACAACCCACTTAAAAAAATTCTGTAGAACAGTTTTGGAGAGATAACATTCACAAGTCTATCTTAAACTTTAGCCAGATACAGTACATTTTCTCTTTGGCAAACCTTTTAAACTCATGTTTCATGAGGAGACTAATATTTTTTACGTCCCCAAAACAAAACAAAACAAAAAAAAAA